GTGCTTCAGGTCCTCCTCAGTTTCAGCAAGCAGGGTTGTGTCATCCGCATAACGCAGATTGTTGATAAATCGTCCACAGTCAACATTATTAGTCATCATTGTTGTTCATTTTAGGTCCATCAAGTTGACTATGACTTATAGCATCAAAGATATGAACAACACTTCCTGGTCTTGGGCTATCCTGCATGATTCCATAAAGATTTACATCTAGGAAATCCTATGATACAGTCATCTTCTGTTGAATAGGGTGACTATGAATCCTAATGAATTCAAATCAGGTGGAACACTCAACAAACTGAGCCACAGAAGCTGACAAGAGCTTGAACCTCTTTGGATCTTCTACTAAAGTTAGAAAAATGAGTTTTTCTTCCAGTCATTTGCCATAGCTCCAAACTCTTTAGGAGAGGAATGTCTTTCATATAACTCAGGTAAATTTTAAAGATTGTTCTACATCTACTGAATTCTTGACAATTACTTTGTTTCTAGGTATCATATTTTTGCAGGCGAGGCCAGAGGAGAAGTCCTTGATAACTCTTTCAATGGAGGAATATGTAAAACTGTCAAAAGCAGTAGAGCAAGCAATCCATACCGTGTCCCCGTCAATATGGAAGCTGTCAACTTTGAGGTATGATAACCGTCATGGGGGCACTCCAGCACCAACGGTGATTACAGTGAAGGGATAGAATCACAAAGTAATGAAAACTTGTAATCACCTATTATGCATTGCTATTTATTTGTTCATTCCACGACACAAAAAGGTCAGTGTCAGCATTAATTCACGGATTAAGTAACTGAGGTAACTTGTAAGGAGTTGCACTCTCAACCTAAAGGCATAGGGTCTAAAATCACCATCTGCCCCACAGAAGGAAGATGGGCTGTCTCCTCCTGTACAATTACTACCTCTGAGAACCCACGAGAGGGTCAGCTATGAGTCAGCTCCAACTCAATGATACAAACCAACAGCGACGACAAGTTTGCCCAAACAGTTAGGAAATAGTGTGTTTGAGTTTCAAGTGCAGGTTTCTCTATCTCTATGCTTCCTTAGTGAAAACACATCTATTTCAGATTTTCCCCAGCATAGATATATGGCTTGATTTACTCATAGTTTTCTCCTAACATAATTAGTGTTCTTAAGTGATTGTGAAATTTAAACATTAACAAAGTATTTATCTTCTAAGAAAAGCCAGAAGGAGTCTAAGGATAATGGAGATGTCTGCTTCCCTTCCTTTTTGTTTTACTTGCTGTGTCATTTGTCTGTTTGCTTACTGTCAGAAACAGTAATTTGTAGCTGCAACATTGCATAATCTCAAGAACTGTTCCATGCCTTACATATAATGTTTCAAGTTGAACTGAACTATCTACTTTTTTTAACTTGTGACAAGGGAAACAGACAGGACATGTTTATAATAGTGGCAGTGGCACATACTAATTGGACACAGATAGAAGTTCAGAAGGTCTTAGGACTTGGGTCTGATTCCTGAGAATTGCTTCAAGAATAGTTAAGAGTTCTATGACAAGACATTTAACCTTTCCTTGAAGAATCCTTTTTTAGGATCTTTTTGTGGAAAACAGTGTACTCAAACTTTACAAATACATCAGAATACAAGAAAATAAAAATTAAAAAAAAATTCCAATAGTTTGATTACAAAGTTCATATACATTGTGTTTCCACACTGTTCTTCATTCACGCTGTGTTTCATACAAACATTCCAATATATTGTGTTTCATAAATTAATCATCACTGAACTATGCCCACCATTACCCCATCATTTTAGGTTCCACCATATCTTTCCCAAGAAACATATTTTTAAATTCACTAAACTCAAATTTGCACCGGAACGCAGAGAAGCCAAAGCACAGGGAAGAATTCAAGACATTAAAGAGTTGAATAGAAGATTTCAAAAGGCAGCACGGGATGACAAAGCAAAATAT